CCGGTAACAGTCAGGGCTCCATGCCCCAGTACCCGTATGACGTTGTCGTGTCCCGGAGAGAGAACGAGGGCTTTGGCTTCGTCATCATCTCCTCCGTCAACAAGTCCGGGGCCAGCGTGGACGAATATATCGGTGAGTCACTCCAGCAGGCCATCCTCTCTCCTTTGTCTTTATTCGCTTGAGGACATGCATTTCTTCCTTTATATATATTATTCGCTAGAGGAGAATCTTGAGTCTTCGATGGCTTGATCGACATGACAGTGAATGAATGTCCCCATCATATTCTCTGGTTACTTGTATATATTATCTCATGCGTTTGTGTCCCCACCCAGGCTGAACCAGCATATTATTACGTCATCATTATATTGTACGTGTTGTAATCATTCTTGGTAAGTTTATTTTCTTTTATTTCATTGACTTCTGTTTCATTTTCCTTTCTTTTTTGTTCTCCTCCCAGCTCTACTTCTATACCCCCTCCCTTCCAAACCAGATTCGTATTACCTGTTGTCCGAACAGCACCTGTGAATTTCTTCTTTTTTAGGGGGGGGGTGTCATTAAATGGACTCAACGGTTTTTTTAATATCTTTTACTGAAAAGCATGTTTATGTTTTAACCTATTTATCTAATTGTGTTCTTCTGTATATTTGAATGTAAATATGCTTTTAAACTTCGGAATAATAAACAAAGAGCCATAGAAATGGATTGAATGATTTAAAAGCAAGTTGAAAACAGGCCAAAATGGATACGTTCTACTCCTTTTTCGTATTTCAGTCGTCTGAGAGTGCTCCTTTTAACTCAGTTGATAACATGCTGGGCAACGGTCCAGTGTGTTTTGGTTCAAACCCTGAATGGGATGTTCTGTACTTTGGTTCTAGTAAAAGTTTTCGTAACTGTCCATTGACCGGGCTCGGTCCTGACTGAGAAGAATGTTATCTGCTAGTGGTGTACGACATGCCAGTTGCGCTGACACACAACTTTGTTCGGTTGTTGATAGTAATAACAAATGTCTATGAAACCCCAGAAAATCCAGCTTATCTATTATAAAACTGTATGTTCATTGCAAGGATCATTCATTTCTGCTCAGTTTAGTGTTCACTTTATACATAATATAATGTTAAATATGAACGGAGATATAGGCAAGTTTGTGATGTCGAAAAATTAGATTACAAAATTGGCTGCGTTCAGAGATGGAAAAGCCTTTCGTATACTAAGATTTAAAAGCAAGGGGCAACCACTCATAAGTAATTCTATCGTGATTAGACGGGTGTGAAATTGCGTGCAACACTGACTCACTCATCTCAGTGTATTTATTTTAAGAGTTGTTGATGGGCACTCTGATGTGGTCTGGTACCACTACTTCTTATCAATGTTTCTGTTGTGAGTTTTGTATAATTTGTTCATTGACGAAGAAATATGGCTGTCATTACGCTGACGTACCCTGAACTAGGACCCAGAAAAGTTTCTGTAGTGTAGTCTTGTTAGCATTAGTATTAGTTGCTGTATTTGTTTTAATAGTTCGAGAGAAGCGCCCTTGGGGGTGGCTGTTTGTGAATCTTGCAGTACTGTTGTGCCTTCTTTTATTCATTATGAACTAGTATTATGTAATTATATATTATTCCTTCTGCCAAGACTTTTTAGCTTTTGTCTAGATTTTTTAAATTAAGTCATGCCGCAGTATCGATGTTCGAAAATGCAGTAGATCAATTCTTTAGCCTAGTAACAGGGTGTGCATCTTTCTTCTCTTTTCATCCGTCATTGATGGTTTTTTATGTGTGTTTGTTTTGTTTCTGTATTTCTGACGTCCCTCACTTTTCAGATGGTCCTTCGTTGTTGGTGGTTTTGTATGTGAATGTGTGTGTGTGTTTGTTTGTTTTGTTTTGTTTTGTTGTTGTTGCTTTTTTTTTAAAGTATGTTTTTGTTTCATTCCTGTCCATGGATCATTTCTTATTTTTGACCTGCCACTGGCCACATATTTCAGATGGCCATGACCCACATCAGGCCTCAGAGAAAGCGCTTCTCTGCCCCTGGATCGGTGAGCTTCATTTGCAAGCCCTGGGGTCACTGTGTGATCATAATACCGTTCTGTTCATAGCTTTCACCTCTTCCGTCACTATTATTATTATCATTATTATTTCTTTTATTATCGTCCTCATCATCGTCGTCGTCGTTTATTGCCGTTTGGTTTTCCCTAATGTCGTCGTAATGACCTGTTGTTTGTGTTTTCTCTACTCACTGTGAATAATGTGCCGTTATTTTTAGTTACCAATAATTGCCCCCCCCCCCCCAACCACCCAACTCCCCTCACTCCCACTCTGGTGCTGCCATCCCCTCCCCCGCTTTAATGGTGTTCTCCCCAGAGCTAACAGCCTCCTTTACTTAACCGCAGAGTTAATTAACTAGGGTTGTCTGTGGTACCCGGGTGGGGACATTGATTAGGGTTTTCTGTAGTAAGTTGCGGGTGGCTGGTGGGCGCCGCTGGTAGGTTCTACTTCTTTACTTTCCTTCTGTTGTTTTTGTTCGTCTGTCTGTTTGTCTGTCTGTTTTCCTTTTTCCCAGCACTAAATGGCCATTACTGTGTTGATGTGCTTCTGGTTAGTCAAACAAAGAATATTAGGGTTTTCTGTAGTAAGTGTGTGTGTGTGCGCATGTGTCTGTCTTTGTGTATGTGTCTGTGTGTATGTGTGTGTGTGTGTGTCTGTGTGATAGGTCAAGTAAAGATACACATCCACATTAATCATCTTATTTCACACCAAGATGTCCGCCCCCCTTGCTTTCTGCTAGTTTTGTTTTGTTTTATATTCTCAATTGTTGTTGTTTCAGTTTCTGGTGTTTTTTTAGTTCACATATTTACATTTTCGTGACTCATTTTGTGATTTCAGTCCATATTATGAACGTGTTGGCTTTCTTTCCCTCTTATTTGGATGTTCTTTAGTTTGTGTTGCCCGGCATGATTGAGTGGAGTGGACCTGTAGATATTGTACCTTGGCTTCTTCCTCCTTTTCGTTTCTGTGCAGTTCTTTTTTAAAAAGATTTATTTTAAGGTTGTTTCTTAAGAACCAGATCATTGAAATATGTTTCAAACGTTCGATTCTGGTGTAGTTGAGTTGTTGTTTTGAGGTTGTTTTTTTGTTCTGTTTTTTTCTGGGGGAGTGACAATGTTGGGTGTTTTTTTTTACTTTTGATATCTCACTATTACTGTAGTATCTATTGATACTCGTTCTTTTTTAAGGTACTATTCCGTTATGTATCCAACTGGATTAAATTTTTTTTTCAATTTTAGTCTTCACCATGTTTCTGTACTTTTTTTCCCGAAACACCTTTCGTAGGAAAAAATATGTATTCGAACAATCACACTATACATATTTTGGTTTTCGGGTTTTTAAAAACCGAAACTTCTTCCCATATTGTTTCTTTGGAGTATATTTAGACAAATGAATTAGCAGTATTCTTTCATCCTTACCGGTGTCTTTTGGTCTAAGGCTAAGCTGTTTGCCGTTTTACACAGAATGTGTGAGTTCAATTCTTAAATGGGGAAGTCTGTTCTATTGAGTATCTCCATAGGATGTCGTATCCCTCGCGTCCTGTGTTTACTGTGATGGGCAGGGTCAAAACAGCCGGCCTCCTGTATTAGGTTAGAAGTTGTGTTATTGTGTAATGGTGGTTGCACCACATTTCTTGGGGGGGGGGGGGTATGTTTTTATTTTGTTGCTGGTTTGGGGTTTTTTCATTGTATTTTTATTTGTCACAAAATTGTGTTATTTATGTTTAGCCGTATTATTCGTATTTAGCCTGGTCTGTTGTAAGTGTGTGCCTTTTCAGTCGATCTTTTGGTTTCTCGAGCCGTTGTATTTGGTTTTGTATTTTGGTTTTTCCTGCATGAGTTGTCAATGGATTGATGACGTCAGTGTGTGTGTAGCTGCCCTAGAGCTGGCCACACTCCAGGCTTTGGACGTACACTGTTGTCATCTCAGTCGCTACTGCATGCCAAATGCCAGTTGTTTCTGGGCCCATCCTTCTGTTGTGTGCCGACTACTGTGTTCAGCTATAATATGTGTTATTAATTCAGTTATTTATATTATATTATACACATGTATATCTTTTTATATATTATTATATGTTTTTGTATATATATGTATACACTCTTACACATACACACACACACAAAAACACACACGCACATAAACAGACACACATACACACATAAACATACATACACACACACACACACTCACACACACACTCACACACACACTCACATTTGTATAGTATATGTATGTGTGTGTGTGTGTATATTTATGTACAACACACACTTACACACACACTCGCACACCTTTGAAATTGGGATGTAACTTTCCGTATGACTACTGTATTCTAATTGCAGTATGTAGTCTTGGTTTTGCACCAGATAACTATTCAGATGAAAAGCTTATACTGTTGTCATTTTTTTTAAATGTTGAAATCTCTATCAGGATTTTAGTAGGACTTAACTAAGAACGGAGCTTCCATTTTCTTAACTAAGTATCTCTCTCTCTCCCCCTCTCTTTTCTCTCTCTCTCTCTCTGTCTCTCTCTCTCTCTCTCTCTCTCTCTCTCTCTCTCTCTCTCTCTCTCTCTCCATTAAAAATTCTTGAACAGGACAGTCCAGCAAATTAATTCATTAGGCAGAAGACTGATTAGTATTTGTGTGTGAGGTAGGATGAGGGTGCAGTGCCCAGGCGTTGATCAAATAGGTTTATTTCGAAAGTACATGTATTTACATGTATTTAAATCTAAGAAACTGAATAGGAGACATCATTATTCAACATGAAACAATAGCAACATTCCTTAACATTTTCCAAACAAATGAAAGAAGTGTAATTTCTTGTCATTGTTTGTTTGACGGGGTGGTTGGAAGGCGCCAATAGTAGTTCCTATTTCTGTTCTTTCCCTCTGTTGTTTCTGTCTGTCTTTCTTTTTTTTTCAGGCACCCAGTGACTATTATTGTGTCAATGTATGTCTCCGTACTCAAACAAACAATACAGACTGCTTTTTTTTGCTCTTTTTCCTTATTCAAGTTTTTCATTGCTGAATAAGACCATTATCATGGTTACATGATTCTCCTTATTCCCTCAAACAATACAAGTAAACTACACTGTATCTTGATTTTCCCTTGTACTAATTGGCAAATATAATGTGGATGTTTTTGGTAGTTTTTTTTTATAATATAATGTGGATGTTTTTGGTAGTTTTTTTATATTATAGTAGAGGGTTTTACTCAACTAATGTGGATGTGACTCTCATTACTCAAACAAAAGTGAAAATGTAGTAAGCTCAGTGGTGTTCACGTTTGGTTTTTCTCTCCCTCCCTCAGGCCATATCCAGGAGAACAGCCCAGCTGCCCGGTGTGGTCGTTTGCATGTGGGTGACCGGATCCTGGCGGTGAATGGGGTGGACACGTCCAACATGCACCACAAGGATGTGGTCAGCCTGATCAAAGACTCTGGCTTCTCCGTGGCTCTCACTGTGGGGCCTCCTCCTGGTCAGTTTTCTGTGTGTGTGTGTGTGTGTGTCTGTTTTTTTTATCTGTCTCTGTCTCTCTCTCTATCTCTTTATCTCTCTCTCACTCTCGCTTTGTTCTCTGTCTCAGTCTCTATTTCTCTGTCCCTGCCTCTCTCTCTTGCTCTCCCTCTCTCTCTCTCTCTCTCTCTCTCTCTCTCTCTCTCTCTTTCTCTCTCTCTCTCTCTCTCTTTCTCCCTCCCTCTCT